AACGCTCTACAAAACGGTCAAAAAAATAAATAGCATTGTAGTCAATGGTATCGTTCCCACCTGTCCGTATTTCTGCCCGTCCCGAACGCACTACAAAACGGCCCACGCATGAAAAGGTCCCGGAGCGTTTTTTGCTGCGTATTGGTCCGTTTTGTAGGGCGTTTTCCATTTGTATACTGCCAAGTAGCCTTTGGAATCGTGCGACGGTCGCTCGACTTTTTTTACCGCGAATCGCGGTAAAAAAACGCGTGACAGACGCGCATATTACAATACGCATAGGTGTGAATGGGGCCTAATGGGCGTCAGACACCAGCTTTTGACATCTGTGTTTACATGGCCTTAAGGCCATTTTAGGCTGGGATAAAGATTGTACAGCCGCAAATATCTCCTGACTTTTTAAAATACATTTTATAAGCAAGCTTATGTTTCTTTTAAAAGGAAGTAAGGAGGCTGCAAGTGCTGAGTTCCCTGCGGTCATACCGATTCAATGGCTTCAGTACATGCCATATATACCAGGAAAAAGGACATGACAGCACTATCATCACTCATTTCCTGAGCTGCATGCTCGTCCCAGAAGGCCAAAAGCCCAGAAAGTACCTGAGTCATTGGAACAGCATGACAACCATGCAACTAGCATTTTCAGAAGAAGTTCGGCAACGGCAGTCTCCATATTACCCTTTCTTGTTAAATGCTTGTTTGTTACACAAACTTTTTAGAGCTGTTCAATGCAATGTTATAAACATAATTAGATATATGAAATTAAAGTAGAACTTTAATAGAAACATTAGCAGGTGAGCAGCTAGCTGTAACACTTACAAAAAAGCCACAACAAGAATCTTGGTAAACCAGCTTAGGTTGGTGTAAAATGATTATTCTGCATGGTTATGTTACTTGTATAAAGGCTATGTGCCTTACTACATAACAAAGCATACAGTAGGCTGCTCATATTTTAACCAAGCCGCCAAGGTGCAAAGCACTAAGGAGCAGCTGTTTCCTGTGTGCAGGCAGCTTTCAGGAAAAGCCCTCTTTGTTACCAAGCCTTAAAAAGCTCTTCCAGTACAACTTGGCCTGCGAGTTGGGATTCAGTAATAAAATCTCTCTTGAGACTGGTGTTATTTACAAGAGGTTTAGATCACATGTCCAGATATTTGGCATAATTCACTCCAGTATGCAACCATTCTCCAAATAAATACTGCACAATTTTCCAACCGTGGGATTTGTACTCTGAACATTAGTCCTCTATGCAGTTTTCTGGTTTAAGCTACTACGAGTAGCTTAAACCAGAAAACTACATAGAGGACTAATGTTCAGAGTGCAAATCATTTATAAAGCAAGATGTAGACACCTACCACCCATACTGTAAAGGAAACCACAGAATAATAAAACTACTGGGATGTGGGAAAATTGACTAAGAAGTAAACCAGCTAAACAGATGATCCTGACTGACTGCATTAACAAAGTATATATTTGTTCTATGTGCATTATATAATATATAATGGATATTTGTTCTATGTGCAAATGAGGCCAAAACAAATGTTATTAGTATATTTTCTATATGTAATAGAAGGAAACACTGCATTGTGGCCACTAGAGCTGAGAAACATAGGAAATATTTATATCCTAAGATCCTCAGCTCCATCTGGATGAATTATTTTCGACCAGGAAAGAGAAAATATAATTATACTAATAAAATCTTTTTGCCCCCCTTTACACAGAAATAATGTACATGAGGTTTTGCATGACAAATGGCTCTACACATTTTTGTTTTTGTTATTAGAGAGTATCCAAACAAATACATAAAATACATTGTTGCACATGCTGCTGTAATGTCAAGAAGTTTTAAACTTTGTATATATCCTGCTTTCAATTCAGTATTACCAGTTAGATGTTTTCACAGGCACATGTTGTTCTAAGATTACAACACTTACTTAATCACTACCAGCCCTGTGAAAAAAAATCCGGGGCAAGTGTCTGCTTGGGGTGCCAGTAGTCACCCCCCTCTGTATGAAATGTGCATGTGAATGACCACCATTTTTCTACTGAATATTTTGAGGTAGTAAATTGAGTCATACACCCGTTAGTCTGACCATGAAAGCTAGCTCTTTTTGGAGGAACCTGAATGCTTCCAGCATTTTCCATGATGGACACCTCATTGCAGGAGATTAGAAAGATCCATCCCTGAATGCAGGCCTGAGAATGGAGTTTACAGGCATGTGTTTAGGGACTTGGGCCACCCACAAATGTCATCCTCTACAGACCCACCTCAGAGCTCATGAGGCAATTATCTATTTTAAATAGTTATGTGTCCTTCTATTTATTACTCAAGTGATTTCTCAAGAAGTTTTATTTGAAAACGTGTCATCTGAAAGATTTAAGAAGCACACAGAAATGAACATGCTAAAAATACAAACACTAAGATGATATATCTGTTTTGTGGCATTCATATTGTATGATGCCAAGCGTTTGAGAAGTGCTTTCAACATATCCTTTCCAGGGCTCAGATCCAAGGCCATCAGTTACTGAAAATTCATTTCTGCCAAGGGGCAAACTTTTCTTCTTTTTTTACTGCCCTGTCTGCTTACCACACATAACAGACTTGTTTTCAAACTTCCAAATATAAAATGCAGCATAAATCTCTCCGTATGCTAGAAAACAACAATACAATGCTGGCAAACAGGCAAGGGGCTTGTGACACACAACATCATTTGCCAGATCATGTGTTTAATCAAAGAGAACCCGTCAATTGTTTCTATGATATATATTAGTTTTAGTTTTATTTCATATTGCTTCGTGCTATATGTAAAATAAAATGCCTTTTAGTATGCTTGTTTGCCAAATAGGACTTCTCTGTAAAAATGCCTTTTGATCCAATCACCTTCTTCTTTCCAGTAGTTTTCAGCTGTCTAGCCAGCGTTGGTGCCGGTCTCTGATCCAGCGCTGACTGCTGTGTCGTCTGTGCGGGTGCACGCTGCCCGGCTGCCTGCATTGACTTACCCTGTGTCTCTCCTCATCTCCCGGCCGAGGATCTGTACTGCACATGCGCCCGCCTGAGATTTTTCAGATCTTCGGACGGGAGTGCACGGCGGAGACACAGGTAAGTGTCACAGGTTTTCTAGCATTAGATATATGTAAACCCCCCCAAGGGTTTAACCCCTTCGTGACTGACGACGTACAGTGTACGTCGCCAGCATCGGGGCTGTTTAAACAGACTCCCGGCGACTTTTGCCGCCGGGAGTCTGTTTAAACTTGTAGAGCCGACTGTCGGCTTTACAACAGAAGCGATTCTGGCGACTTAACTGTCGCCAGATCGCTTCTGTGTCCCAAAGAAGGGGATTTTCAATTAAAATAAAACAAAATAAATCTAATAATAATTGTAAAAAAATTTTTAAAGTCCCCCGCCCCCGAGCGTCGCCACGTAAACACGCGTCGGGTGCGCCTACGTATGAAAACGATGAACGCACTACACATGTTGGGTATCGCCGCGCACGCCGGAGTGAGAGCAATAATTCTAGGGCCAGTATTTTGGGGTATCTCTAAATTGATGACCTGTGGGGGCTTTTAAAGCGTCTTCTATTGACTTTTTGGAATACTGCAGTTTTGCGCCGTTTCACGAACGCACGCAATTTGTAACCTGGGCATGTTGGGTATCATTTTACTCGTTGTAACCTCATCTTTTATATTTCATTTAAAAAATTGGTATTTTGTTGTGTTTTGGGGCATTTAATTAAATTTTTCACTAAATGTTGGGGTTTAATAAGGAGTTGCGCTAATATTGCGCAACATAAAAATTTGCAACTACCACCATTTTATTCTATAGGGTCTTGGCATTCAGAAAATATATAATGTTGGGGGGTTTTAAGTCATTTTCAGGCCTAAAATGTGGAATATAACATGGGTGCAAAAAATGAAAAAAGGGCCTCAGTCATGAAGGGGTTAATTATCCTTTAAAGTTTATTTACGCTCTTGCAGCCAAACTGGAATAACACTTATTTTATGTTATGTTCCCATGCATTAATATTCATATATATATCTATCGATAGATAGATCTATATATATAGATACATATCTATATCTATATATACATATATTTATTAGTGATTCCTGCTCACCTTACAGGGGAGGAATTGTGTTTTCCATAATTAACCCTGTATTTACTGTACAGGCAAAATCTGTTAACTAGGTATGCTGTGTGAATGGAAAAACATAACAAACATATAGGATGTCTCAAATTTGATTGTAAAAGTGGAAATACACTAAGTTGTGAGAAAAGAAAAAAAAGTTTTGTGGGGTGCTTTTATTTACAAAAGTACAAAATGGA